GTTCCTCATTCATGATGATTATGTCTTATGATTTGATACCGATTCGTAACGTTACCACTCCATCATACAGCCACGGTCACACTGGGTCACAGAGCAATGCCACAACGAAGGAAATCTAGGCCTCTCTGAAAGCATCTTTCTAGTGGGATGGTCGATAAAGTTAACAAATATTTATAATTGCAATAAAAACCATTACTTACTTTTAGCTTACTTAGGTGTTGAGTCCACCAGTAATTCATAAATTATCTTGAGCAATCTACGAATTACTGATAGCCTCGAAGCATACTGACCACGAAAAAACGGATAGTCAATTTTTTCCCGATAGTTTAAAAGCCTACTTAAATCACTTTTAAGTAGAACCGTAAATTTTAATTGCAAGTAAAAATTCGCCTCATTTATTTAGAGCAGTGTAAAAATGTAATTTTGGAACAACCTGGCTTTAGATCGATGATATGAAGAAGAAGATTGTGTGTTCTTTTTGTTTGGTTGCAGTCTTGGCTTGATCTTTTTTCCAAAACTTGATCGAAGCGACATGGAGACCTTGTGGAACGCACCAAGTCCCGTGTCTTCTGCGATCGTATTCATGATGATTCTTATCATCAGTCCGTTGATTTGGTACATTCCCAGTCGTAACCTATTCCTTTGATTAGCTGTAATTCTGTGCTGAAATCGGCGCCTGGTGAAACATATAAGAATATACCAATTCAACAGTCCGATGATGCAAATCATCACGAATACTCTGGAAGGAGACACACGACTTGGAACGTTCCACAAGGTCTTCCTATCTCTCCGGCAAAGTCGTATTTTTTCGTTGAGAGAATTGGCCGAATTCGAGTCTCGCTGACAATGTGATGGCGAAGCGAGATCAAATCCTTAGTTCAGCCCAGCCTGTGAGACAATGGCATAATGACAATTGCATTGTCTTATTTGATTACGGGTTTAACCTCGCGGGAAGCAGGACCTCTTACATCATGTTTTTGAGGTTGTATTGTTGACAAGGCAAATATTTATTTGACATTACAATCCGTGATGCTACTTAAAATCGCTGTGAGTATATTTGGAAATACTCGAAAATTCTTTAATAAAAACTTGTCCAAGACACTGTTGAGTGAACTCCACTTTATGTCCTTAAAATAAATTAGGCGATCTAAGTTGACTTGGTTAAAATTAACTTATTAAAATATACTTTTTGTGATTTCGAGTAGTATCGTTAATTGTAATGGCAAATACACACTTGTCCCATCAACGAGACCGCGTGAAAAAATGTGATTTCAAAGAGGCCTGACTTCCCTCGAATGTCTCATCTGGCCTCTGAGGCGTCGCTATGACGTGAGTTCAAGTCTCGTTGATAATGTGAAAGTGAGACGAGGTCAAACGCATATTTCGTTAATGCATGGGAGACCATGACCTTTTGCAATCCTCTCATTTCACTGTGGACCGTTTGCATAATCAGTTCTGGCAAAGTTGGCATTTTCAATGTCTTAAATGGTCTGTCAATCCTGCCTCGTTTAGTTGCGTTGCCGTCTGTACCAGATGTCGCGCAACAACAAGCCTTCACCACTTGCAGGAGGTTAATCATGTCCTGGTTGGCACCCACAATCGCGTCAGTCAACTGGTACCGAGTCGTCTGATGTTGGGCTGTCGGGCGCATCTGACCCTCTCGGCGGAGGCCATAGCGACCCCTGCCTCAGTAGAAATCATTCATTTTCGCCTCATTTCGCTTTATCCGTCTGCTTCATATGCGACTCATCGCAATTTCTAGTCGGCACCGAATCGTCCTCACGAACTGCGGCCTCATCCGGTCCTTCCGAACCTCGTTCTCGGGCTTTCTCCAACATAGCACTCAAATATGCATACATCTGGAAGTGTATATTTTCAGTGTTTGTCGCTAAGGCTGGAGGCGCTTTTGCTAGAAGTTCTGGTAGTCAGGCTTTTTCACTCAAACACATGCCAATGTTCTTTCTACCTACACTTATCTTGCCATAGACACTGAGTACCTTCTTGAGGCTGCGTGAACACCTCTTCATAGTAGGACTCTTCACACAGACCTCCGCTTATGAGGACTTTTAATTCGCTTCATCACATTCCCACTTGTGTCCATCTATCCTCTCGTTTTTGCAGTATACACACAAACACACACACAAACAACATGTATGCTTACTTGTCTATCATCCAAATTTTCCGCCACTCATCTATTCATCCAGTTAACCGATGATGCACAAATCTATATGACAATCTATAAACTAGTTTATGCAACATGCCAACATGCTCAAAATACATGAACAGATCAACCTTCTTATCGTCTACATCTTCTATAACCCACTTTTCTTATTTTGCTTAATTGCCAAAACGTGATGTTATCCTTCCACTCTCTTAGCTTAATGTTCACTTATCTCTTGATCATATGGACCCTTCCAGCCTTTGATGTAACTTGCCAACCCATTTTTTCTACCATTTTCTCTCCTTTCAGATAAGATAGAGAGAAAGAGAATATTGCTAGCGCATCAAAAAGATACCATCAGGCCACTTTGATTGTTGAACATTGTGTCCATGCGGAGTGATCTTTGGTGATACCAATCAATCTATATTGACAATAGGCTTCCTGAGTGGATGGTGTGTTGATGGATGAATTTTCCCACAATGATATGAATTGTCCTCGCACGGCGATTGAATTTCATACAGGCCTGACTCGAAAAAGGTGTTGTCGAAACGGCTAGACCGGACTACCATCACCCTATTCAGCAGCTGGATTAAATATAGTCTACCGTCTATATCGAAATCTACTCATCATAAATATAAGTAACATGTACTAAAGAACTGTACATTTTGAGAATCTCATGAGATTCAATTCTTGTGAAAAATTTCAATTTGCATGGAAGTACATGAGGAAGAGATTCATAGGTCAATCACACCAGAAGACGTAAACTGATTCGAGCTCTGATGCAGCCGTTTGGCTTAAATACGACGTTCCGGTTGACGCAGTCAATCAAACATGTTACAACGTTTCAAGCCAAGACGGGCTGACCTTTCGTTGCTCATTCCACATGACGAATTTCGTCGGAACTGGGACTCACTCTTGTAAATGCCTCAAATATAAACCTTTAAGATATAGATGGAAATAGAAAGTTTCGGCTAATTGACGTATACTCTAATGTGTGTGTGTGTGTGTGTTAAGGGGCTTACGCAAAGCCCGCCATAAGAAATGGTAATTAGTAAAGAGCTAAACGTCAGCCCTACGTCATCAAGGCTTAACAAACCTAAAAAAAAGGATCATCGAGGTTGCGTTAGTCGGTAAGTAACCCTGGTTTAAATGATGGGATGAAAATCTGTACACGTGAAAGTCAGGTTATGAAACCCCCTGTCCGAACCCGTTTGTCTGGTGTTATTAAGGTTTAATGACGCAGAGATTAATAAGGATAGATTTAACAAATTTTGCAAAGTTAAGATTATCCAGTTATCCAGTACAGATCGGGAAGATGGTATGCAATTTCTAGTGGAAAGATAATTACATTTTGTATTATCTAGTAAATTTACGCATTCTCTGGAAATACTTTTTGAGCAAATTAGCTTATCAAATGGATTAGCTAAGCAAGTAAAGAGTAGTGCATAGTTGGAGGTGATTATTCATTTTGACCAGATAGTTACGCCAAAGAAATCTCTTCTTTTGAGCAGGCCATCTAGACATTTTGCTCGTAATAATCTAATTATTATGAAAGCAGACAAGGGTGAAGCAGTGGCAGCCATGACAAGGTCAAGTTATTTTGAGAAAATGCTAGTACATTAGAATGACAATGTATATGTATAAGCCTTTAGTAAATAATCCTACAGAGGGACTTAAAGTAGTGAAGAAATGAAAAATAATTCCCTACTTCAAGGAGTCGCTAGGGCATCTTCGGCCTATATCCAAGGCTATCCCCTTAGATTGATTGTTAACAATAAGGATAGTTTTATGCCTAAAACCTCATCTTTTTGGGGGGGACACTTGAGGAAAGTGACAGTATTTTGGTTATTTTTGGTATAAAATCTAATTAGTACGTGGAACTAGTGAACGGGTAGAATATTTCAAAAGATAAATTAGTAAGTTATGGTGTATTAAAGCAGGCAAATATTCCAGTTCAAGTAACCATCCAGGCTCGAACGCTCCCTCTAGAGCGGCATTCAGAGATTACGGAGAGAATTAAGTTAAGTATAGCCTCCATTCTAAGGCTCATTAACCTATCCATGCGTAGTACATATTTCACTTTTGATGGTAGGTTTTATGACCAAATACAAGGACTTGTAATGGGTCCTTGCTTAGCACCAAGTTTGGCGAATAACTACATGGCAACGTCTGAGGAACTCTTAATGCAAAATGTAATTTTTATTCCTAATTTGAGTTCTAGATTAATTGCTAATTATTTTGTGATCTGGCAACATGATAACGACAGCTTAGATAATTTCTTATTTTCACTTAACCAGCGTGAAAGTAATATTAAGTTCACATTGGAATTAAAATTAGATGGGTGAATACCTTTTTCGGATGTTATGTTTATTGTGGAGGATGTTGAATTAGGCAGAGATATTTATAGTAAACTAGCATATGCTGATTTTTTTTAATTATTTTTCTAAACATAGTTATTTTGTGATCTGGCAACATGATAGCGACAGCTTAGATAGTTTCTTATTTTCACTTAACCAGCGTGAAAGTAATATTAATTTTGCATTGGAATTAAACTTAAATAGGCGATTACCTTTTTTGGATGTTATGGTTATTGTGGAGAATGTTAAATTAGGCAGAGATATTTATAGTAAACTAGTATATGCTGATTTTTTTTCTTTCTAAACATAGATAAAAAACTAGGGTTTAATGTTTAACTCTCTCATCATTAGGAGTAGGAGGTTTATGTATGAAAATCATCTGACCGAAGAGTTAAAAAGATTGAAAAATGTATTAATAGAGAATAATTACCATTTGGGCTTAATTAAAAATAATATACCTTTAATAATGAATAAATTTTTGAACGGAGACTATTGGATCAGAGATAGCTAAGCTGAAATGCTTTCTTATGTTTTAATCTTGCCGTCATGTTTTCTGTATAAGAAGCTAGGATGACTAGTGACGAAGTGGGGAATAGAGACCGTTTTCAAATAAACTCTGACACTTTCTTCGATTATGCCTTCTTTTTGAGAGAAATATGACCCACTATCGGGATCCGGCTTCTGCGGTTTAACTTACGTTGGCGAGACATGTCAACCGGT